TAAAAAAAATACGATTTTTGTAAAAAAATTCTTTTTTATATTTTTAACTTTATAATGCTATAACTTCTCGAAAGATGTATGGATCAATATAATTCTTTTTTTTGTAGATGCATGATGTCTTTACCTATCATTTGGTATATTTTTTTTTTATAAATCTGACTTTACCTGCCTACAAGGGGGGATTCAAAATGACAAATTTTTCACAAAAAATTGACTTTTTCAACTTAAATTTTGAAAGTGTTCCGGAAAGTCTGACACTTTTATATATATCTTAAATTAAAGCTAATATACTTGTACTTTATAATGCAAAAAAAAAATTTCGGACTTTATTTTGTCTTCACGGTGAAAATAGCTACCAAATAATATTATTGTGTGAAAATTATCGATTTTATTTTTTATATTTTTAACTTTATAATGCTATAACTTATTGAAAAGTGTATTGATCAATATAATTTTTTTATGGGAAATACTATTTTTTAATAATCCCTTTTTCATTCGACATACTTTATCTTAATCAGGATATTAGTAAGGAACTAGCAGTTTATGAAGCTTTTGGAATAATCCACCAATTTTTTAAAATTAAACACTATCTAAAGATTTGCATCGAAGCGTTTTTTTTTGATAGTGATTTTAATCACTGTCAGATATCATTATNTAAGGAACTAGCAGTTTATGAAGCTTTTGGAATAATCCACTAATTTTTTAAAATTAAACACTATCTAAAGATTTGCTTGGAAGCGTTTTTTTTTTGATAGTGATTTTAATCACTGTCAGATATCATTATACTTGATCCAACTATGCCACGTCACCACTGTGCCGCGACCCCCCTGTGCTGGGTTTTTTTTTTTTATCTGATGCTGCACCTTACATGGTTAAATCAGGAGAAGTGCTAAAAAGTCTTTACTCGAAAATGATTCAAGTAACATGTGTTATACAAGGCATCATAGAGTCGCAGAAGAAGTAAAAAGTCAATTTCATGCCGTAGATAAAATTATTTCAAGTGTGAAAAAAATATTCAGAAAATCACCAAGTCGTTTACTTTTATTTAAAGCGGAAACGCTAAATCTTACCATCATAGCCAATTTTAACTCGTTGGGGAAGTTGGATTAACGCGGCAATTTATTATTGCGAAAATTTCGAGATATTGTTTTCATGTTGGACAAAAACGTTGCTGTTAGTATTAAAGATGCCCAATATTTCATCATAAAACCTGGATTAGAAAAAAACATGACGTATATTAAGTCAAACTTTACTACCTTAACCTTAGCTATTGAAAAATTACAATAGCAACAAGTACCATTATCGGATTTAATAAAAATTGTTAAGAATATCCAAAAATCTTTGGAAAATCTAAGTGATCCAAAAAGAAAAGGTTATTCAAAATAAGTTCAAAAGGTATTGGAAAAGAATTTTGATCTCGCGGCATTCATAAAAATATCAAAAATTCTAACTGGTGAAGAAACATCAGGAAATTTATCTGGTCTTCCTGAAGATTTAACGATTTAGCANTGGTGAAGAAACATCAGGAAATTTATCTGGTCTTCCTGAAGATTTAACGACTTAGCATTTTTTAAATACGCATCCGTGACGCCTGTCGATGTTGAGCGGTCATTCTTAACATATAAAACTCTACTGTCAAATATGTCAAATAACCGTAGATTATTCAAATATGAAAATGTAAGAAAACATATTATTATTCAGTGTAATTCTTTAGTTAAATAATATAAATTCATTTAAAATTAATACATTAATAATATATATACTATAAAATAAAAATAAATATTCAACTATAACATTTAAGCTGTTTTAAATAGTTATGTTTGAATAAAATTATTATTAAAAAAAGTTCATATTGAAATTGTAATTTGCATATTTTTATGTTTTAGTGCTATTTATAGTCCTTATTGTGGTGTTTTATACTGCATATTAAAGTGCTAAAAATCTATTTTATTAGTGCTATAATATCCGAGCCCTGGTCATTAAATATTTAATAAATATATGATGTGCATGTAATAATATAACAAAATCAGCAGTAATCTTATCATTTTGAGTCATTTAAATAAAATATATGTTTATGCTCTTTCTATATAGACTGTGAATTATTGAATATACCATCCCCATTTTTTCTTTTTTAATAATAATTAATCCATAAAAATCTATAGCCTAAATTTTAATTTATTTTTATAAGTCATTATATAACTTTTATACAATAAACTTTATAATTGTATAATTGTAAAGTTTATTGTAAGAAAAATTTATTTATAAGGGTAGATTTAGGGGTAATTTTAGATGGCCGACCCTAAGTAGTTGGAATTTAGCTAGGAAAAATAAGAAGATTTAAGGGTAATTTTAGAATATTAAATGGGAACCTATAATTTTTTTTTACTATTATATGTAGAATAGTCTAATTAAAATGTTGACTGATCGATAACCAGTATAGCAATACTTTTTGAATTGTTATAATTCTTAGTTATAGGCGAGCGGTGTGCGCAACATAGACATTTTTTTATCTGTGTGTTATATAAAATAAAGTGTCTCTAAACACTACCTCGCTCCTCACCTTTTCTAAACCTTCAAATGTTAATATCTTAAGAAGTAATAATATAAAACTGGTTAACCAGTTTTATTCAAATTTTATTTAGACCATTCTTTATAACAGTAAAAAATAATAATTATAAATTCTCATTTAACATTCTAAAATTACCCCTAAATATCTTAGTTTGTTGTAAGAATTACAACAAAATTGATAATTATTATAGTTTATAAAAATAAATATAATTTTAATACATACATTTTTATGAAAATTATTTCGGTTAGAGGGATTAGTAATTTTTTTTATTGTAAATATTCCTTGTAAAAAATGTTTAAGCAACTTATTGCATGGATCCATCTCACAAAATTAGGTATAGTATAATATACTATATCATATTATGTTAATATACTGTTACAGATGTTTGACATAAGTTAGTAAAATGAATTAATTGATATCATTAAAATAAAGTTACCATTTTGAGCACCAGTCGATACCCAATGTCCAGGAGAATTTCTCTCTTGAATTTTGAAGGTATATTCTACAGTAATTAGTGGTTCATACCACAACATTCTTAAATCTCTTTCTAAAGCATCTAATTCTACATATATGAAAGGACAAGATTCCATATCTAAAACTTCTCCTCGAAAGTAGTTTTCATCAATTTTATGTTGTAAAATTTCGATTACGAACCATGTCCCAGCAATCTATATTTATAAAGACAATAATATATAACAATAACAAATTTAATCCCAAAAATATGAATATCTAAATTAATTAAAATTTAATTGATCAAAACTTAATATATTATTATAGTAAGATGTGGTATATCAAGGATTTTTCAATGGAAGGACCAAATACTAAGGAAATTTTTAGCGACTTTTTTTGTTTGTATGTATACCTAAACTGTTGGTTTAACGCGAGTAATAGAAGAGCTTTTAGTCTTTTTAGCCCCTTCTCCTCACTGAGTACACCACTGACAGTAAGTTATTTAAATTTTTTTTAATGCGAATACCACCAATAACTAGAATTAATAATTTTTTATTATATATGTAAAATTTGAATAAAAGTAAAAAGCTTATACGAATGGATTGCTAAAATTTAATAATATTTAAAACTTTAACTTAACTTTTTCATTAAGTTGTTTTATTTAAATTTTAATGTTTGTAAATTTAGAAAAAAATATCTCCGAATTTCTATTGTCACTATCAAATAGTATCAACGAAAAAATTGACAATTTTTTATTGTATAGTTTAAGTAATGAATAAAATTAAAACTTCATACTGCTCTTAATTGGATTTGATCTTGTATCTGCAAATTTCCACAATGTGCGTATGTTGAAGGAATACCATTTGTGTCTAATTGGTCTGATGAAGTAATATCGAATAATCCGTAGCTAAAACACAGTATAAAAATTCGACGTAGCATTTTTACGGATGATTTACTTTAATGAATACTATATAAATTATTTTAGAGAAATTTTTTTTAAAATAATAATAATTATTATATAGCTGTATTTTTATCAATTTAACTTAGGTAGATCATATTTTAATTTTATTCAAAGAAAATTTTAAGTAAACTTTAAGGGACAACGATAAGAGATACGGTTCGAGTATGACGAGTTCCGGGGACTGTATGCCAATGCTATATAATATCATTGTGTCATCCTGAACGGCTCCGTTCAATTAAGGATTGTTAAGAGATTATGATAATTTAAACAGTGTCTATAATATAAATGTGGTAGGGCTCGGTTGGTCCATTTATAAAACGTATATTCGTCACCACATATCACACACAAAGTTCAATTTATTCCCACCATTATATAAATTGTATTGATGTGTCTTATAGGAGCTGGATATGTACCAATATAATCTTATCATTACCTATATTAACACCTTGAATTGTGTATAAGAAGCACTTTGTCCCTAGTGTTCGTTTGTTTTACTAGATAACAGTAAAATAGATATTTTGTGCATAACATGTACACTATTGTAGTGCTATGGTGCTACAAAAATGTTTGTGGTGAAATTTAAACATACTACATTGGTAGCTATATTTTATAACTCAACTCATATGAAAAATTTTATATTGATTTTTTAGAAGTAGAATGTATTTAATTAGTTAGATTTCATTAAAACTACAAATATTGAAAATTGATATTTTGTAAATTATGGTTAAAGTACTACTTTTTATGTACCTTGTATTTATAGTATATATTTGATATTGTATTTGATTAAAACACGATTTCATTAAAACTACAAATATTGAAAATTGATATTTTGTAAATTATGGTTAAAATATTAGGCGGTGTTGGCATAAGGTTGTTGAAGGAACTTTTAAATAAAATCTTATTAGAAGGGAAAATACCAAATGAATGGAGGAATAGTATTGTGGTGCCGGTATTTAAAGGTAAAGGTTACACACAGGAGTGTGGAAATTATAGAGGCATATAGCTTATGAGTCATAGTATGAAAATTTGAGAAATGGAAATAGATAAGAGAATAAAAAATGAGACATCGGTATCTAAAAACCAGTTTGGATTTATGCCTGGTAAGTCAACAATGGAGCCAGTATTTTGTGTGAGGAAACTAATAGAAAAGTTTAGGGAAAAGAAGAAAAAGCTGTGTATGGTATTTATAGATTTGGAGAAAGCCTACTACAGAGTGTCGAGAGAGGTTTTAAAGTGGGCATTAATAAGAAAAGGAGTCCAGAAAAGGTACATTAATATTATAGAAGATATGTATGATGGCACTTGTACCAGGGTAAAAAGCGTAGGAGGAGTATCAGAAGGTTTTCGGGTAAGAATAGGAGTGCACCAAGGTTCTGCTTTAAGCCCTTATTCTCTATAATGATGGATGAAATTACTAGAGAAATACAAGGAGAAGTGCCGTGGTGCTTGTTGTTTACTGACGATATAGTGTTAATAGGAGAAAATAGGGAGGAAATTAATCAAAGGCTAGAGGTGTGGAGATCAGCTCTTGAAGAAAAGGGTTTAAGAATAAGTAGAAGTAAGACAGAGTATATAGAGTACAAGTTTGACAAAGGAGAACACGAGGTATGTGAAATAAGGAGGTCAGTGACAATAGGCGAGGACGTGATTGGAGAAGTGGAAAGTTTTAAGTATTTAGGGTCAGTTGTGCAAAAGAGTGGTGGTATTGACCAGGATGTAAGACACAGAATTAAGTGCGGGTGGTTGAAATGGAAAGAAGCGTCTGGCGTCTTATGCGATAGAAAAATTGCAATGAGGCTGAAAGGTAAATTCTACAAGACTATAATAAGGCTAGCTATGATGTATAGTTCAGAGTTTTGGGCGGTTGATAAGTTAATAGAGCAGAGAATGAGTGTAGCAGAGATGAGAATGCTTCGATGGATGAGTGGAGTGACTAGAAAAGATAAGATAAGGAATGAGCATATAAGAGGGAGTATAGGTGTAGCGTTAATCGTGGATAAGATGAGAGAAAATAGACTTAGATAGTTTGGTCATGTTATGTGGAGAGAGGAAACAGAAGCTGTAAGAACAGTTAAAGAAATTAATGTTAAAGGAAGAAGAGGTAAAGAAAGACCAAAAAAGATGGAGAGATGTTATTGAATGCGATATGAGGACATCTGATGTTAGCGTAGATGATGTGGGAGATCGTGTCAAGTGGAAGTTTAGGATAAGGGTGGCCGCCCCCAAGTAGTTGGGATTAAGGCGAGAAAGAAAAAGAAGAAGAAGATATTTCATATTGTGTAAATCTAAAATCAAAGTACTTATGTAATGCCATTTAATGTTGTTTGTTTTTTTTTCTTAAGTAAGAAAATTTAATTTAATTTTAAAATTTTCGTAAGGGAGTTTGAACTTTCTTAACACATATTTTAAACAATTATAAATTTATAGTTTAATTGAATATTTAATTAAAAAAAAAAACCACAACTGGGGCTGTTGTTATAATTAGACAGTAAATTACAGCCACAGAACCTAAATCTAATCAATTAATTGTTAAATTAAATTTTTGTGCGAAACTGTGGGTAAGTACTTCGGTTACATTCTTTAACATCAGTTCTAATTTTCAAAAATTAAAACATTTGGTTATAATATATATATATACAGGGTGGCCCACCACTCACTGACAACTTAAATAACTTTTGATCCAGTTAATATTTTTAGCCGATTTTTTTTTTAAATAATAGTTATACGTTAGGTCCATAGCTATATCTCAATAATTAATTTTTTTACATTTTATTAAAAATATTAATTATTTTTAAATTTTAAATAAAATGTAAAAAAAAAATCTAAGATAGCTATTTTGTAGAGTAGAATTTAAGAAAAATTTTAGTAAAAAAATATCTTATTAATATTCAGTAGTAAATATTCTGTAGCGTTTTGAAGTTTGTNAAAAATTTTAGTAAAAAAATATCTTATTAATATTCAGTAGTAAATATTCTGTAGCGTTTTAAAGTTTGTGAAAATTTGAATTTTCATGTATTATTTTACGGTATTAAACATTGAAATACGTATTGAGAAAAGGACAGAAGAAAACGCCATCTTTTCATGATAATGTGTATACATTACAAACTTGTCATTAATACCATGATAAGAAATTAGATAAGGCAATTATTACTTATCACTCTCATTCAAAAGTATATTGAAAGTATATGAAAAGTATATTAAAGTATAAGTATACTTGTACAGATTGAAAAAAAAATGTTTTCGTTTGTATTGAAAGTATATTCATGAGAAGATCGAAAATTGCTTTCTTTAACTTACAAGAAAAAGCCATTGCATATAATTTAACAATTTTTTTAATAAAAAAAGAATGTATGTCTTTATTTATCCCTTAGAATAAATATTTTTAATTTTTATTTTAATGATGCTTTTCTGTCAACTATAATAATATTTAAATTTTTATGCTAAGAAGTTTTGTTTATAAAGGATTATTGGTATTATTATTAAATATTTTTCAAAGGATCATTCCAATAAACTTTCTTCACGTATTAGTCTTACTTTAGTAAAAAAACAATTTTTGTTGAAAAATTATCTGATTCAAAAATTAAAAATGTTTATTTGGCATTTCAATTGGTTACCTTTTTGTCATTCCAAAATTGAATAATAAATAGTATTTGATTAAAAAGGCGATGTAGTAATTTGTTTTGCGAGCTTTAGTGCGTAGGTATAGTATGTTCTCAAATAGAACAAACACATACAAAAAACACAGCGTAAATAATTTCTTGTGAAGAAAAAATGTCTTCAATTATTAGTCACGAATATGACTGTTCAATTATTCACAATTAAGACAGTTTTATTAAAACGGAAGCCGCCGCTTTTAAAAGATGAAAAAATATTTAGTTATAAATTACATATTATGAAAGCATTTGTATTCTTCTTAACTCTGTTACATACGAAAGAATAGGATTTATAAATTTGACAAATTTTTCCAGCGATTACAAAATAAAAAAAAATTTGCCAATGTATTATTTTAATAACAGCTCATTAGCTAATTCACCGAAACCATTGTGTAGTATTTCAATGCATTGTCATCATTTTAAGTGAAAAAAAAAAATTCCACATACAGTTACCAGTTTTTGTTCATTTATAGCACAGTTGTTTTTTAATTATTTTTCTATCGTCCTTGCTTTTTTCGCTCACCGAAGAATACCGATTAATCTAGGCAACTTATTAACAATAAATATTTAGTAGTACTTTGATTGTACTTAGACATATAGGCTGGTATATGCTCGCACGTAATGTATTACAAATACATTCGTTTTTAGGCGGTTAATGATCAGTCGCGTTGCAATCATCTCATCCGTTCTGCACCGGTCAATTAGTGGACTATTAAAATTAACTCATGTTGTTTTGATGTTCGAGTTGATAGTATTTCCTACATAAAAAAGATGCCACCGTGCTATCGTTGTAGTACGTATGCATACTGTCTTATAATAATTATTACTTTTATGTGGGTTTATTCTTTCCTCTAGCGGTGGGCCCTTGACAGTTAAGTAGAAGTTATTTCATTAACCTAAAGACCTTTTGCGGCATCACTACATCTATAGTGAAGGAAGTGACTACACCGGATCCCTAAATGACTAGTTTGCCTATTGACAGAAACATAGTTTATAAATAAAAACAAAAAGAAATTAACTGTAATTAACACAGTTTTCTTTAACTGATGTCCTTGACTAACTTTTACTGGGAAATATGATAAACTAATTAATAAGACACCTGTATATATAAGTATAATGCTTCGTTTGCGCTTACCATGAACCTAATTTTTAATTTACATTTAACTCAAAATAATAGTAAGTACTCAAATTCCTTGACTAGATAATCAAACAGGTTTATTAAATGTCTAATTTTAGTATACTTAAATAATTATAATGATGCACCGTATATAATAATCATTTGAAATTTTCCCTCGAATAGCTTATGGTAAAAGGGATATCGATTGAAAGTAATTTATTGCAGTAAATATAAATTATTGTCAGGTAAACAAAATAAGACATAGAGTTAGGTAAAGAATTGTATAGTAAATAAATGTAACAAATCAAGAATTCATTAGAAAACAACGATAATGAATTATAGGTATACCTATTTTTTAATCGCGTTTTGGCCTTTGCTTTAATATATATAGGAAAATAATAATAATTATAATATGGAAAAAATATAATTAACAATTATT